GACTTCTGTTTTTGAGGCCCAAGGAAGCATTTACATCGATGAGCATTTTTGCCACTTTGACCAACTTTGTGTATAAAAAGTATATATTCAATTTTAGTTTCCGCAGGGATACAGCATTTAAATGATTAGTGGAATAACAATACATTTACTTCAGTATGTACATTTTCTGAGTTGTCCTGGAAACGACTAGTATACACCCATCTGGCGCTGATATAATTCGATTTGGACCTTGTAAAGGAACGACAGTTTTGCTGAAAAGCGACCGTCCAAAGAGAATTGCTGAACTCTGTTATTGCCAACATCACACACGAGAAGATTATTGGAGTCGTCCAAACACATGCCACGAGGTTCGTTAAACTGTCCATCCTGATTCCCTTGTTTTCCAAACTTGCACAAGAACCTTCCTTACGAATCAAATGCTTTTACAAGGCAACTGCTTCTTTCAGTAATTAGGAAAATGTTTTTGTAAGGAATACAGCTGTATGATGAGCAGAGTTTTTCTGGTCAATTGTCTCCTATTGTGAATATAGCTTCACCCTCTTTCGACATAACTTGAACTCTTTCATTTGAGTATTCAGTAACAACAATACGCTCTGCGTCGTCAAGACAAATACCACATGGATTCAAAAAGTGACCTTTTCCTTCACCTGTTTCTCCAAACGTTTCCGAAACAGAACCTGTATGGATATTTATGTGTTGTATTTTATTATTTAGTAGATCTGCAACAAGAACTCAAACAGTTGTTTTTGTTGCTGTCGCGTCTTTGTGATCACATGTTCAGCTGCCTCTGACACTTTATGTTTAGCGATTTCGATAATCATTTCCACATCCCTAGATGTTTTATCAAGTTTTCTTATCTCTACTCGAAAGAAGTTTGCCTTTTCCTTGATGGTCTCAACGTTCGACATGATGTGTTTCCTATTTTCTTCCACTGCATTTTCAATAACGTCGAACTCATGTCGTTGGTGGTGTTGAGCGAGTCAAACAGGACAAACACATGCTTCGCAGGAAGAGCAGAAATAACGAGTTCTTTCGTTCTTGTGTTGCGAGCAAAATGGCGGCTACATCAATGCCTCGCGATCTTCTGTTTGAAGGAGACCTAGGAAACTGTTATGGTAAAAACTGTTGGGCAAACGGTCGAAGCGATTGTCTTTTGGTAAATCGATTTCCGCCTTACACTCGGGGCATCGGAATTTCCTCTGTCTGTGGCTTTTTCTTGCATGTTCCTCCAAACACTTACAGCAAAAAGTGTGGAAGCACGATATTATTTTCGGTTCTGTGTAGGTATCGAGACAACTTGAGCACGTTACTTGTTTCTTGAGGTTTTCCATGAGGGGTTCCATAGCGATCACCTTAAAGCACAGATTATTCAAGCGACGAATGGAAACAGACACTTGTGAAATTTAAGTTGTAATTTTTGATTCTTAGAAAACAGAACAAAGTCCATGACAGCTGAGCTCTTGTGGCCAACTAAATTCAATCAGTAAGTTTACCTTTTTTGTGACGTTATGTCAATGTGAAAGTTATTTTCTCATTTATTATAAATAGCCTTGGTCGGTTGTGCGGAAGCCTTAGTTTCTGTCACGCTCCTTTTAAATGAAAGCCATTCACTAACGGCATAGATGAAGACATATGCAATGGAAAACGAAATAAGGAGAAAGAGGAGTTTATCACAAATTGAAAGCGAGGGGTGTAATTAGTCTTTGCGTACTTCGTTTGGCCTGATATTGTATGCAGTGGTTTTTTTTGTTCCTAGGTGAAGTAGAACGCCGTGCACGACAAGACAGCTGGAATATTTAATTTCTCAGTACGATTGAACCCGGGAGTAAGAGTTGTTTTAGCTTTTTGATCTTCCCGAAGAAGGGGATCCTTGAAAAGAACTGTTTTCATCGGAAGTAAATGATCTCTCGGAAACATAAGCGGAAGTAATGTGATTATTAGAGTCAGATAAAGAATAGTTTATGAGTCCATTGTTTTTAAAAATGTTTCAAAGCCTTCAAACGGTTCATTTTGACTGGCGAACCACTCAACCTTTTCCTTTAATGATAACTTCTGCACAGGGTAATGCCGAAACGGTCTGTCACGTTCACAAACAACAGTCTTATGGTCTACTCTTACTCGGACGATTACAAATCATAAAACAGAATCGATTCACACGTACAAGACAGCAGATCCGTCCTTTGCGATCAGATTGTCCTTCTTAGTCGTAAAAATTTCCATCGGTGTCCCGATTGTGAAAAACTTTTTTGCCTGTAGTTTTGCGTGAGGACAGACAGTTTTTAAAAACAAAAATGAAAGAAACAGTCTTTGTTTCACATTCTTAGAAAACAAAACAGAATAAGTGTGTACTCATCTATTTTTGATTTGTCATTCTCCTTGGCTCAGTTGACCTGGTTGTAACGTGAAACTGTTTATCTACTGCATTATTGAAGTGAATTTATATTTGCCTCCAAACTTTATCTTTACAAAATCCGTTGTAGAAGTTCTATTGTTAATGAAAGAGGAGAGAATTCATCGCCTGTAATTAAAGGAAAAACTTTGGGGTCATGTGCAAACCACGATTAAAAGGTTCATTTAACGAATTTGTTGCCCTTCATAGTTCTTTAAAATGTGAACAATGCTGCTCTCCCTCTCCCCCTTCTTTTTGCAGCAATTTTCTGTTTTCTGTCAAATTCAATCTTTGTAATTATTCATCATTAGTGAGACATTAATTTTACAATCCCTAAGCAGGCTACGCACAAGCAACGCAACTTTGAAATGCTTTTGTCAACAAACAGTAATTTAAGATATGCATTTAATCCTGTAAATTGACGGTAAGAATCTTGCTTCAACACTTTTTCATCAAAGTTCGTCCTTGACTGGTTTTTCTCTAAGTCTCAAAAGAAGTTAAAAAACCATTGACGATTAAGCAGAAGTAGTGTCTGAACCCATCGCGACCCATTGCCATTAGAACTGAACTACTTCAAGAATAAAATGTTTTGGTTCAGAAAGCGACCATCAAAACTAAGTTGCTGAAAGAATTCTGTTTTCAGTGGTCTCGAAAAAAGATTCTTGGAACTGTTCTAACACATGTAATGGGGTCTGTTGAAGTGTCTATCTTGATTCCCTTGTTCTCCAAAGTTGGTTTAGAAAGTTCCAACGTTATGAAATGTTTGTATACAGTGATTTGAAAATTCAGAAAGGCTGAAAATTAATTTAGTAATGAGTACTTAATGGTGCATAACTTAAAATTGCACACAATAAGTACAAGTCAAGTATTTAACAAATTTTTATTCATCCAAGCTAATAATCTAACAAACAAATGAAATATATTTGCCATCTAGAATAACTAAGACTGTAGATGCACCTGATTGCTAATTGGGTATATGGTATAAACATGAATATTATCAAGAATTGTTAGAAAGTTCAACTTGTGTAAGGCAAACTAGTTGGTTGTTTACAAGACACAGGGAAGATGTTTTTGAGAATTCTGAGAAACAAATCTCATTGAGTGCCAGAGAACTCAAGATCTCAATTCCAATGCCTTCACCCTTTTACTCCAAGAGACGTTGAACAAGTCACGTCTCCTTACAATTCCAAAGTGTTATCTTACAAACAGATCATGAGGATAGACAAGCTGATCAGCATGAGGGTGTTATTCTGATATAACACCAAATTCCTTTGTCTAATTTACAAAGAAGTGCATTGCAGTCAGTTGGGAGAATTACTAATTGGACCTTGGGAGATAAAGGTTCGAAGGCACTTGGCGATGCCTTTTCTACAAGTTCCAATAAAATAATATTTTCATAGACATGAACTGTAGAGCAAATTCCCTTTATTTTACTTTGGAGATTATCTGTGAAAAAACAGGCTACAGCTACAAGACACATTACTGAGTTGAAAAAAAAATTGTGTTTTATGTTTGCCTAACAACTTAAAACCATTTGTACATTTTCCGGTTTTTTTTCCCACAAATTCTCTTCACATAATTTTTCTTCATATTTCATTAGACCACGTTACAGTTCTTAGCCTTGAGAAGGGCTGTTTCATCCTAAATATCTACTCTTATTCGACCAAATCAAGTTGAGAGACAGAATACACGATAAACAGTTAAACCTATCTTAGATTCGTTCATTTTTAATTTTCTGACGATACTTTTCCTAAAGATGCGATTGTGCATGGGGTATTAGTCAATTTTGGTCCAAATCCCTCCCCCCCACCCTCCACATCTACATTTGAAGCTAAAGAAGCATTTACACAGTGGAACGTTTCTGCCACGAGCTCTTTCGATGAACCGAAAAATTTGATTCAATATAGTTTCTCCTAGGATAATACAATTAAATGATCGTGAATTACAACAAATCTACTTCAGTATGTATATTTTCTTGCCAGCTCTGCAGGAGACTAGTTTACGCCCATCTGGTGCTGTTGCAATGTGATTTGGACGTTGTAAAGAGACAGTGGTTTTACCTGTAAAGTGACGGTCTAAAGAAAATTGCTGGACTCTGTTATTTTCACAGTCACAAACAAGAAGATTATTGGACCCGTCTAAACACATGCCACGGGGTGTGTTGAACTGTCCGTCTTGTTTCCCTTTTTCTCCAAACTCGAACAAGAACGTTCCTAACGAATCAAATGCTTTTATGCAATGGTTGTATCTTTCAGATACCAGGAAAATGTCTTTGTAAGAAATACAGCTGTATGGTTTGCTAAGCTTCTCTGGTCCATTGTCGCCTATTGTGAACATAGTTTCGCTCTCTTTTGACATAACTTGAACTCTTTGATTTTTGCTTTCAGTGACAATAAGACGTTTTGTATCATCAAAGAAAATGTTAAGTGGTTTCTGTAAGTGTCCTTTTCCCTCACCTTTTTGTCCAAAGATTTTCAAAACAGTTTGTGTTTTGATATTTATGTGTTGTATTCTATCATTTAATTGATCTGCAATAAGAATTTCGTTGTCGTTCAAAAACGACACGCCGGTGGGATATTTGAATCGTCCAGGATCTGTTCCTTCTTTTCCGATTTGTCTCAAACAGTTCCCTTCTTTGTTGAATACAAAAACACAGTGTCCAAGATTATCTACAACGGCTATGTCTCCTTGCTTGTTTACAGCGATTCCACTTGATCCCTTTAACTCTTGCCCTTTAATAAAATGTAAATTCAACTCACCGACAACGACAAGTTCACGTTCTTTCACTGGCAAAGTGAACGGACAGGTCGGAAGCTTTTCGCCATCAATCTTCACCTCAACGCTGTAGGCGCCAGGCTCTTTAGGTGAAAACTTCAGCCTAATATTGCCATCTTCTTTTTCTTGGACAATTACGTTTGTTACATCTTTGGCGGGTTTTATTAGCAATTCAACTTGATCTTTAAGAGCAACCTGGTAACTATTCTCTGCTCCAGAAGGTGTTGGACATAACGTTAACTCTACTTCTACACCAGCTTGAAAAGTTTGATCCAATCCTTCTAGAGTTGATTTAGCTGCGTTTCCCGCATCCTCGTTGAGTTGAATAAAACCCAATTTGAAATCTTGTTGCGATGCCGCAATAAAATTGGCAAAAGTAGTCTGGCGATGTTTTGGAATTTCAACCCCACGAAGCTCTTCAAATTTGGACCTCAAAGTTGTCTTGGCCTGTATAGTGTCCTAGCCTGAGGTTCTCTGCACCAGATTCTCTGCAAACTCAGCTGCTTGGTTTATTTCTTTCACTAGAGATTCCAGTTTTTGTTTAGCCGAGTTAATTTGCTCTGTTCTCTTCCTACGCGTCATTTCTAGGGACTCTAACAGTTGTTTTTTTTGCTGTCGTGTCTTTGTGATCACAAGTTCAGCTGCCTCAGACACTTCTTGTTTAGCGGTTTCGATAATCATTTCCGCATCCTTAGATGTTTTATCCAGTTTTCTTATCTCAGCTCGAAAGAAGTTTGCCTTTTCCTTGATGGTCTCGACGTTCGAGATGATGTGTTTCCTATCCTCTTCCACTGCATTTTCAATAAGGTCGAACTCATGTCGTTGGTGCTGTTGACCGAGGCAAACAGGACAAACACAGGCTTCTCAGGAAGAGCAGAAATATCTAAGTCTTTCGTTCTTGTGTTGTGAGCAAAATGGCGGCTTCAGCAAAGCTTCGCGATCTTCCGTTTGAAGGAGACCTAGCAAACTGTTATGGTAAAAGCTGGTGGACAAACGGTCGAAGCGATTGTCTCCTGGTAAATCTATTTCGGCCTGACACTCAGGGCATCGGAATTTCCCTCGTCTGTGGCTTTTTCTAGCATGTTCCTCCAAACACTTACAGCAAAAAGTATGGAGGCACGATATTATTTTCGGATCTGTGTAGGTGTCGAGACAAATCGAGCAGGTTACTAGTTTCTCGAGATTTTCTACAAGGGGATCCATCGCGATCACCTTGAAGTAAAGATTATTTAAGCAACAGATACGAAAAGACATCTGCGAAATCTAAAGATATCATTTTGGATTCCTAGAAACTGAAATCAGCGAGAATAATGTCCATGACAGCTGAGCTCTTGTGGCCAATTACATTAAAGGACTCAGTTGAACTTTTTTGTAACGTTATGTCAGAGTTGTTTCAGTTCTTATTTATGATGAATAGACTTGGTTGGTTGCACTGAAGCCTTTATGTCACGCTCCTTTTAAATAAAGCCTTTCACAAACGGCGTAGATGAAGACAAGTGTGCAATAGAAAATAAAGTAGGAGAAGGAGGCGTTTATCACAAATTGAAAGCGAGCGGACCAATTAGTCTTTGCGTATTTCGTTTGGCCTGATCTTGCATGCAGCGATGTGTCTTTCGTTCGTATTGGTGGAGTAGAATGCTAGCTAGGAGGTTATAGTCCGGAATATTTAATTTGGTCTAAAGTAACCGATGTCTCGGAAACATATATAAGCAGAAGAAATATAGCGATTAGAGTCAGGTAGAGAATATTTTAACTCTTGATTGTTTTAAAAATGTCACAGTTTCAAAACCTAAAAACGGTTGATGCAAAGGTTACTGGCACACAACTTAGCAGTTGTCCCTAACAGTTACTTTTGCACAAGCTAACGCCGAAACGGTCTGTCACGTTCACAAACAACAGTCGTTTTTGGGTCTTTCCCCACCTGGACGATCATACAGATGATTATACAACACAGTCCATTACATTAAGACAGCAGATCTCTCTTTTGTAGTTAGATTGTTTTTTTTTAGTCTTTAATTGTCATCGATGTCCCGTCAGTTATAGAAAAAAGATAAACTCTGTCCCTAAAAAAGGATAGAAAGTATTAAAAAGGAATTCTAATAGACGGCCCTTGTTTCAGATTACTAGGAAAAAAAAAACACAAAGTTCCTTTAAACTAATACACATCTGGCGTGTCACTTTCCACAGCTCAATTGACCTCATTGTAACGTTATTAAATGTTATTGAAGTGAACGTTCAGTTGTGTAACTGCTTTATATTGATGACTATGCGTTGTTGGAATTCCATTATGATAAGGGAGGAAAGAATTCTATTATGGTAAGGGAGGAAAGAATTCTTGGCCCGTAACTGAACAGAAAAATTCGGCGCCTAATGGCAGGTAGAGATATAATTAAGCAACGTTAAGGGACTGTAAAGCGCAGAACACGCTTGAAAGATTCATTTTGCGAAATTAGCACCGTTCTTTGTTCTTTATAGTGTTGTCAATGCTTCTCTTTCTCTCCCCCATTTTTTTCATCAATTTTCTGTCTACTGACAATTTCAATCTTTGAGATTGTCATTTCCACGCTTTTGAAGGATTTACTTTACATCCTAAGCAGCCAACGCACAACTTGGCAAAGCTTCTTTGAAATATGATTTTATCAACAAACAACAATTTAACATACGCATAAAATCCTGTAAACCCGTAAGACGTATCTTATGAATAAAAGAAAAACATTTACGGAAAAGCAAAAGTCATGTCTGATGTTTTTGGCGAATCCATGCATGTATTAAGAAAAAAGGTCACGGTTTGTTCACATTTAGGAATTCAGCCTAAATTATTCATGTTCCTTTGTGGCAATTCGTTTGATGTCGTTCTTTTAAAGTTTTCATCTCGATCCAAGCAGAAAGTTAGTCTGTCTGGCCATTTTTTGAGGGAAATAATCGAACATGAAGCATGCGTGCCTCAGCGACCGCGACTTCTTTGGATCGCGATCGTTAAATCTCCCGAGGCTCCCACTTTCCTGGGTCTCTGAACGGAACTTTGACAGAAAGTAGACCCATTCGTGGTTAACATAAGTAGAAAGTAAAAAAAAAAAAGATGATCAGAAAACTAATTTTTATCAATTGCTTATCAATTTATTCAATTTTTTTATCAATTAATATTTTATAAATTGCTTCTTCAGTTTTATTAGAAAATTAATGATGGTTGTCTTAGCTATTGTATGGAGAGACTGGAAGCTTAAGAGTCAAACTTAAAATTACATACTTCGGTATAAATACTTTCCTAGCTACATATACTGCGAAGGGCAAACCTACTCGCACCAGGACCTGTGGCGTGAAGAAGTGGAAAATGATTCCCTAAAATAAATTGCTGACAGAGCAATTTATTTTAAGCAATCATTTTAAGAAATCAGAGCAAGCTCTGTTCCAGCATTGGTGTCATGTTTTTGAGCTGACCCAACAAATGTCATGGGGTTTGTTGAAGTGACCATGTTTATTCCCTATTAACCAAACTGAAATGAAAGACTTCCTGTTTGACCAAATGTTTTTATACAGTGATTGCCTCAATTGGATACCTGCCCTAAATTCTTTGAAAATTCAGACAGGCTGAGAATTAATTTATTTAGATCTAAGGACTTAACCCTTTAACTCCTAGAAGTGATTAACATGTAAATTCTCCCTAAAATATCCATACATTGTTTAGCAAACAGGTAATGAGAATACTCAAACTCATCAGGTAGAACTTGTTATCTTGAGTTGACACCAAATTTTCGTAGCTAATTAACAACGAATTGTGAAGCAGCTAGCGGAGAGAATTAACAATTAGATCTTAGGATTTAAAGGGTTAATAGACTTTGTTTTAAAATTACACACAATAAGTACAAGTCAAGTAACAAAGATGTTTATCCGTTCAAACCAAAAAACTACCTAAAAAATGAAATACATTTGCTACCTAGAATTACTGAGATTGTATAGAGAGTGGATCAATTGATTGTCACAGGTAAATGGATGGAATTAAGAAGGAAAACAACCACACCTGAGTGCTAAATAAGTATATGCTGTGAACTTGCTTGTAAATCTTATATATATAGATATATTGTTAGAAAGTTTAATTTTCAAACTAGTTGGTTTTTAATAAGGCACAGGGAAGAAATTGAACTGAGATTGCCAAAAAAAAAAATATTGTTTAGTGACAGAGTGGACGATAAGGACCTGAGGAGTCTAGATCTCAATTCCAGTATCTTCAGCCTTTAACTCTATGAGGTGATTTAAATGTAAACTCTCCTTGCGGTTCCAGTATGTTATCTTGCAAAAAGGTTAGGAGAATCGGTCAGCATATCAGCTGATAAGTGTCTTTCTGATACAACACTAAATTCTCCTGTCTTATTTACAAAGAAATGTATGGCAGTTGGTAGGGAGAATTTGTAATTGGATCTTAGGAATCGAAGGGTGAGACCACTCAGCCATGCCTTCTCTAAAACTTCCAATTAAATGATATTTCCACGAATATGTAGTGTGAAGCAAATTTCCTCCAATTTAGTGTAGAGATTACCTATGAAAAAACAGGCGACAGCTCCAAGACACATTACTGACTTAAAATGTTTGTGATTTATATCTATATTGGCAGCATTTATACAGAGAGTGTTTTTGCCACTTGTGACGAACTTTTTGTTTGAAAAGAAAAATAATTCAATTTACTTAGTTTCCCAATTGATTGATTCGTAAAATAACAAGACATTTACTTCAGCATGTATATTTTCTTAGCTGTCATGCAAGAGACTAGTATTCGCCCATCTGGCGCTGTAACAATTCGAATTGGACCTTGTAAAGGAACGATAGTTTTGCCTGTAAAGCGACCGTCTAAAGAAAATTGCTGAACTCTGTTATTGTTACGGACACACATAAGAAGATTGTTGGAGCCGTCTACACACGTGCTACAGGGTTTGTTGAACTGTCCATCTTGTTTTCCTTGTTTTCCAAACTTATACAAGAAAGTTCCTGACGAATCAAATGCTTTAATACTTTGATTGTCTCCTTCTGTAAGAAGGAAAATGTTTTCGTAAGAGATACAGCTGTATGGTTTGCTGAGTCTCTCTAGACAACTGTCTCCTATTTTGTAGATAGCTTCGCCCCCTTTTGACATAACTTGAACTCTATTGCTGTGGAATTCAGTGACAATAATACGTTCCGTATCGTCAAGGCTAATACCAAGTGGACCCTTAAAGTGTCCTTTTCCTTCACCTTTTCGTCCAAAGGTTCTCAAAACAGAACCTGTCTGGATATTGATGTGTTCTATTCTGTTATTAAATTGATCTGCAATAAGAATTTCGTCGTCGTTTAAAAACAACACTCCAGCGGGATATTTGAATTGTCCGGGATCTGTCCCCTCTTTTCCAAATTGTCTTAAACAGTGTCCTTTTTTATTGAATACAAAAACACAGTGACCATCATAATCTACAACAGCTATGTCTCCTTGCCTGTTTAATTAATAAACATGTAACTTCTCCCTAAAATATCCATACATTGTTAAGCAAACAGGTAATGAGAATACTCAAACTCATCAGGTAGAACTTGTTATCTTGAGCTAACACCAAATTTTCGTAGCTAATTAACAACGAATTGTGAAGCAGCTAGCGGAGAGAATTAACAATTAGATCTTAGGATTTAAAGGGTTAATAGACTTTGTTTTAAAATTACACACAATAAGTTCAAGTCAAGTAACAAACATGTTTATCCGTTCAAACCAAAAATAATTAAAAAGATCCCACTTACAGCGATTCCTTAGGGTCCTTTTAACTCCTGCCCTGGGTCGAACGTCAAGTCCAAATTACCGACTACGAAAAAGTTCACGTTCTTTCACTGGCAAAGTTAACGGACAGGTCGGAAGCTTTTCGCCATTTATCTTTACATCAACATCGTAGGCGCCAGGCACTTTAGGTGTAAACTTCTAGCTAAGATTTCCGTCTACTCTTTCTTGGATGGTTACGTTTGTTACATCTTTGGCGGGTTCTACCAGCAACTCAACTTGATCTTTAAAATAAGCCTGGTTAATTCTCTCTCCATCTGCTGTTTTTGGGTATAAGGTAAACTCTGCTTCTACGCCAGCTTGAAAAGTTTGATCCAGTCCTTCCAGAGTTGATTGATTCACGGCTATCGGGATGACCTGAATGACACCGAGTGTCAGGTCCTGTTGAGAAGTAGGAAAAAATTTAACGAATGGTGTCTGGTAATGTGTTCGAGCTTTAACTCCACGAAGCTCTTCAAATTTCTGCTTCAAAGTTTCCCTGTTTTGCATGACATCCGAGCATGAGCTTCTCTGCACCAGGTTTGCCGCAAACTCAGCTGCTTGGTTTATTTGTTTTACCAGGGATCCCACTTCCTGTTTGGCCGCATTTATCCTCCCAAGTCTCGCCGCGCGTGTTGTTTCCAGGGATACGATCACTTGTCGCTCGCCTTGTCGAATATTAGCGATCATTTGTTCGGCTGTTCGCGAGGCTTCTCGCTTGGCTGTTGGGAAATTTCTTTCAGGCTCTGAATTAGTTTCTTCGAACTCCTTGATGACTTCACAAAGTTCGGCTTGTTTTTCCTTTATCATCTTAGCGCCAGAAGTAATGGTTTCTTTTTCTTCGTGAGCTGCTTTGTCGAGCAAAATGGCATTGTGGTTTAGATGATCAGTGACTATAGAGATCGGACAAATGTGAAGTTGATACTGTGAGCAAAAGAATCTGGCTTTTTGTTTTTCGTGGAACTGTTGTGTGCAAAATGGCTGTCGCTTCAGCAGTGCTTCGTAATCTTCTGCTTTGAAGTCCTTGACTGACGTGACTTTGTGTCCTTAAAAAGACTTCTTAAGCACTTCATGTGCGTTGAAACAACCAGGGCACGTGAATCGTCCACAATGGAAGCAATAGTACATTTGAGGGTTGGTTGCGCTGCATTGATAACAAGTAATATTACCTTCCTCGCCATTCTGTCGAACGGCGAGTAAACTCAACAAACTTTTGTGGAAAAAGCTGTTGGGCAAACTGTCGAAGCGATTTCCTTCTGGTAAATCGATCGCTGCCTGACACTCAGGGCATCTGAACTTTCCTTGTCTCTGGCTTACTCTTGCATGTCTCTCTAAACAATGGTAACAAAACGTAGGAAGACATGAAATAGTTTTAGGCTCGTTGTAGGTATCGAGGCAGATAGAGGAAGTAACTTGTTTCTCTAGATCTTATCAGAAGGGACTCCATCTTCGAGGCGGAACGAAGTAGACTCTGGGGAGAAATCCAACCCTATTACTTGAATGTAGTTGTCAATCTGGATTTCCGAGAAAGCAGAACAAAGTCCGCGTTATCTGATTGTAACTGACCAATCAAATACTTTGGCTTAATTGATGTTTTAAACCCTTAAAATATTTTGCTCAACAAAGTCACGGCAGAGTAGAAAACAATTTAGCCTGAAGTTTTGAAGTTCTTCATTGTCATTTAATTTTAACCATTTATATCCTCAGAAATCTTCTTTCATTCGTAGTTTATTATTGCCTCCCAAGCGTTTTAGGTAATTTTGCACTTCGTTAGACTCAAAAAGGAAGAAAGGAAGTTGTACCTTTCCTCCATAGCTGTCTGTGCTGCAAAATGAAAATATTTACTTTTAATAAGCATGAATGATTGTTTCTATATTTTGTGCGGGGGTGATTTCAAATGTTAAAAAAAAAAACATTGACGCTAAAGCAGAATAATTGTTTGATTGTCTTGAAGACACAAGGTCACAGTTTGTTCACCTCCAGGAATACAGCCTAAGTTATTCAAATTCACTAGTGGCAATCTGTTTTGATTTCGTCCTTGAAGAGTTTTTTCTTTGGTAAGTCATCTCGTTAATATATCTATTCAAGCAGATAGCTAGCCCGTCTTAAGCTGCCCGGCCTTTTTTTTATGGCCATAGTAAGCCGAGCAAACTCGAAGCACGTGCGTGTAAAGAAATTGTAAATTGACCAATTTGATAGAAAGTAGGCCGATTCATGGTCATCATAACTAAAAAGGCAAAACAAGATGATAAAAAATGAACCGAATTGCAAAATGCAAAAATTTAACTTGTAACTATGTTTAAGCAAGTTTGAAGCTAGGAAATAATTTTTGACAATGAAATTGTTTTGTTTTGTCTTTTTTTTTTTTAGAAGGTTAGTGATGGTTATCGTGGCTATTTTATGGAGATTTGGGTTTCATCAACAGGGATGTTGATGTAAATTGGCCACCGTAAAGGGTTTCCAAGGTGAAGTTTTGAGTGTAAGCTCGTTGTGTAGAGAGAATGAAAACTTAAGGGTAAAACTTGAAATTATACACTTCAATTTTTTAACTCTGCCGGATATGCCCGGAGAGCGAGTCAAAATACAAATAACGAGTAAAAATACTTAGCGATACGACACACCAAAACGTCTAACAAGTTATTTATTATCCAACACACAAAATTGTTATTTCCGTGCGGGCGAATTTCGCGGATATTTATTTACMGGGAGTGCGTGACAGAAGTATGCGAAGCGGAACGGAATTAACGCGTTGTCGTGTTGGTGTTTCTATTTTCTTCAATGAATAATGAAATTTCATTGTTGGCTAACTGCTTTTCTGCGTTCGATTTATCTAATATTCACCCGCCATATTCCGACTCTTTTTTTTTTTTTTTTCACCAGTACGCTGACGACACAACCATCTACGCGCACAGCAAACCCGCGAACATTAAGCAGTGTGAACTGAGACCAATGACAACACGCCTTGGATCAGCTGTCCACCTGGTCAAGCGAGTACAATCTTCGTTTGAATCCTTAAAGGACAAAGGCGATGCTGTTCTCGACTCAACAACTGGCTCGTGTGCATAAGCTTGATGAATACCCGATCAACTTGCGTATAAATGGTGCCAAATTAGAAGGAATCAAAACCACTCGATTACTTGGCACAGAAATCAACGAAAACTTGAAATGGAACGATGACATTCTTTCCAAAATATCAAAGTGCTACAATACTCTTGCTATTATCAAGAAACTCAAGAATCTTGTCTCTTTTCACGTCAGGAAAAGCCTAGCAGAGAGCTTCCTGTTGTCGTTAATCGATCAGAACGATATGTTCTGTCATCCCATTCCTAAGTTCCTGACGCAGAGGCTCCAACTTGTCCAACTCGCTGCGGCAAGTTTTGTCTACAATCACTTAGCGGATTTATCGGATGTTTAGAAACTCGGATGGCTCCCCATTAGTTATCGCCGAGACTATCACATAACCAGGACGATGTGCGAGGCTTTATATCTCAACTGCTAGCCAACTTGCCTCAAACTGGTCGAACATGAATGAATAAAGGCTGAAAGTCTCCAAAGAAACTGTGGTCTTGCGTCAGTGGCGGTAACAACGTAATTTGGTTATATCAACTAAGTTGAAATTGTAAATTGACCACCGTAACAAATAAAAAAGCTGACGTTTCGAGCGTTAGCCCTTCGTCAGCAGGGCTCTAAGATCTTGCGAGCGTCGCCTTGAACTGTCGACTGTTCCCGGAACGCTACAAAATTCTGCTGCGATGTTATTTAACAGTCTACCTCAAGACATTAAAAACTGTACAGAACCCAAAATATTCGACAGTAAATGCAGAAAACATTTTATGACACTGGCAACTAGTAACTCCTGATTTATTTATTTATTATTATTATTGTTATTTTTATATTGAATTAGCACAGAAGAGCCACCAGGTGGAGTACTAATAAACCTTGAATATTATTATTATTACTACTATTATTATTATTATTATTATTATTGTCGATAGAAAAATGATTTAAACGCCATTTTTTTTTGTAACTTCAATCCGATTTGTCGCTTGCGCGATGCGAGATAACCTGTCTGACGGTTCTCTGGAGTACAAATATCTTGCGCGTCGTTTGTATTCTACAGAGTGTAGTTGGATAATAAAAGTCAAGTATTTTATTTAATTTTATTCACCCAAGCTAAAAATCTACCAAAAATAAGTCATACATTTGCTACCAAAAAATACTCACTGAGTATACAATGTATGAGTTGACCACGATATGGTAATGTAATTAATAAGGGAAATAAATGCTCACATGGGTGCTTACTGGGTATGTGGTATAAACATAAACGTTACGTAAATTGTTACAAAGTTCAACTTATGGAGGCAGACTAGCTGGTTATTTACAAACTGAACTTGAGAACCCCAAGAAACAAATCTCTTTAAGTAGCAGAATGGATAGATAGGACCTGGGCAGTCTAGATCTCAATTCCAATACTTACGCCCTTTAACTCCAAAACGCGATTGATATGTAATTTCTCCTTGTAATTCCAATATGTTATCATGCAAATAGATTATGAGAATAGACAAGCTGATCAGCTGAAAATAACACCAGATTCCTTTGTCTAATTTACAAAGAAGTGTACGAGAGTCGGTGAGGATTTATTTATTAATTAGATCGTGGGAGTTAAAGGGTGAGGCGATGCAAACTAGCCATGCTATTTGTACAACTTCCAATCAATTAAGAGCGAATGTTTGAATTGACCGAATGAAAATCGAAAAAATGTGACACATGATCGAAAAATTGAAAACCTTCATATTTTGCCCAGAGATGCCTTATAGTGAACTTAGAAACGTGGTAAGGTTTTTTCCCCCAGACTTGCTTCTTGATCCTAAAAAATTCACGAAAAAGGAAACGAGCTTCGGTAGCTGTAAAATGGCGGAAATCAGTGCCTCGAGTAGAGGCAAATGAACTTTGCTCATGAAAAGCGCAAAAGAAAGCAAGCTCGTCACTCAATATGACAAATTTGTATAGGATGGATTGAGGTATGGCTTAAGTCTAAAACGGGACCGTTTCATTCAATTTTGACATCATGGAACGCTTTTAAAAATGACCAATATTTCAAAATCCAAATATCGCATTTTGAAGCACATTTTCAATTATCATTTTCACCCTGCGGTATAACTCGGAATCGGTTCAGGTTAAGCTCCTGAAAAGTGGAAATAATGTTAAGGAATGTGTTATTGTAAAAAATTCCGCCATGGGAAATGGATGAGAATTTGAAACGAAAGCAGAAGTAAAAGCCAATCTGCCGTGGTTAGCTATGCAAGGCTAGGTTACTGTATTGATTTCCTGATGGACCCCGGTGATAACTTCTAAAATGTGCTTAGAATTTCTGGATTTAACCACGGGGTGCCTAATTTGATTATGTCGGGGCTTAAATGACAATGTTGCGATTTTTATAAAGTTCAGCCTGGTTTTACCGTGCGGGAATGAAAAGCCCCAAATTAATTTTTATATCCTCGAAAACAACACATTTACCTCAGTATGTATATCTTTTTAGCTTTCCCGCAAACGACTAGTATACGCCCATTTGGCGTTGTTACAATTCGATTTGCATCTTGTAAAGGAACGATAGTTTTGCCTGTAAAGCGACCGTCCAAAGAAAATTGCTGAACTCTGTTATTGTCAAAATCACAAACAAGAACATTACCGGAGCCGTCTAAACACATGCCACAGGGTGTGATGAACTGTCCGTCTTGATTCCCTTTTTCTCCAAACTTGTACAAGAACGTTCCTGACGAATCAAATGCTTTTATACAATGATTGTCTCTTTCGGATACCAAGAAAACGTTTTTGTAAGGAATACAGCTGTATGGCTTGCTGAGTCTCTCTAGACAACTATCTCCTATTGTGGATATAGTTTTGCCCTCTTTTGACACGACTAGAACTCTATTGTTGCGGAATTCAGTGACAATAATACGTTCTGTATCATCGAGACAAACACTAAGTGGACACCTAAAGTGCCCTTTTTCCTCACCTTTTTGTCCAAAGGTTTTCAAAACAGAATCTGTCAGGATATTCATGTGTTGTACTCTATCATTTAATTGATCCGCAACAAGAATGTCGTTGACACTTAAAAATGACACACACTTGGATATTTGAGTTGTCCAGGATCTGTTCCTTCTTTTCCAATTTGTCTTAAACAGTTCCCATCTTTATTGAATACAAAAACACAGTGTCCAAGAGTATCTACAACAGCTATGTCTCCTTGCCTGTTTACAGCGATTCCACTTGGTCCCTTTAACTCTTGGCCTTGGTTAAACTTCAAGTCTAACTCGCCGATGACGACAAGTTCACGTTCTTTCACTGGCAAACTGAACGGACAGGTTGGAAGCTTTTCGCCATTAATCTTCACTTCAACACTGTAGGCGCCAGGCACTTTAGGTGTAAACTTCAGTCTAAGATTGCCGTCTTCTTTTTCTTCAACAATTACGTTTGCTACATCTTTGGCGGGTTCTATCAGTGGTTGAACTTGATCTGTATCCTCTGCCTGGTCACTAATCTCTCCTACAGAAGTTTTTGGACGTAACGTA